TTCAGACATTAATTTAATGAATAAAATCTTTGATATAAGCACTCTTGTATAACAATCTGTGATTGTTTGTTTAAGATTTATTTGTATTTGTATACATAAAAATAATTTTTAATTAACAAAAATAAGAATAACATTTCCGTAAGTGTGAAACTAACAACCTCATTTTTCTCAGTGTGGCCAACCCATAAATCAACTTAACCAAATAGAAAAAGGCGTAAGAGTAAATAAACCAAATCAAGCATGAACGACACAAAATATAGAATGTTAAATAAGTGTTGTGTGTGTAATAGGTGTATATATTCTATGTATATGCATTTAAATATAAGCATTAACTAAGAGACCTTCCAATATTCAAAGCTTAAAATAAACAAAAGCCAAAAAATAAAGCACATAAACATCACAACAACACAAAAGATAAGACCCTCTCTATGAAACAGCCAAGGCCTGCCAATAGGGCCGTATTCCAAATTATTACCTACACTTCAGGGCCGGCTTTATATATTTTGTATATTAATATTTATAATATTATTTTTAAATTAAATTTGAAAAAAAAAGTAAGAATGCAAAGATATAAATTAAATGGCAATCGGAATATACAAGGTACTCGGCATGAGGGGTTGAATATCTACGAAGGCAGAGTGCACTTACGGCGGGTCGTGGCCGTCAACACTTCGGTACTGAAGACAAGATTCAGTTTCTCACAGGGGGGCAAACAATTTTAAAGAGGTTACCAGGAACCGAAAACCGTCTCGGACAGAGACGTTCATAAGTACACCAACAAGGACAGGTTCTAGCAGCGTACTACCACTTCTACCCCCATTCATGAATCCCAATTGAATTTGGTTATTACTAAAGCCCCGGTTGAGGAGGATTCCGGATTGTACTTTGGTTCAGTTCAATGTCCTCCAAAAACCAACATTTACCCTTCTTGTCCCGCTCTCCACTAGCCTAAACTGGCCTTAACCATCGATATTGTTATCCACGACCTCCTAGGGTAGATATACCAGCCGGCGTAAAAACTTCGGATCTAACAAACACAGGTAATGCTGTGTAGTGCGGGATACGAAGGGGGTAAAATAACCCTGGGAGATTAGTGTAAGGTGATGTCGATGGGACCTGCCATACGTTCCTATACTCCTACTCATACTCTACATTATGTTCATTCTAACAGTTTGTTGAAACACCCACTATTCCATTAATATAATGAATTTTTGGAAGGAACAGTAGGGTGATTCATTTTAGCAAACATTTTTTTTTCGGTGCTCAGGCAAAATATTAATCTGCATATATAAAAAAAATTTTCACCAAGTTTGAGCTCTTAATATCAATTTTATGTACTAACTATTTAAATTTAAAGTTTTAACGTTTAAAATGCATGTAAAAATATTTTTTTTTCAAATTTTTAATGCTAACCCACAATATTGCCAATCGGTTTGATGGACCTTGTGTGGAATTTCACGCTCTTCAACTCGCATGTAACTCGCATTGGTTCACCAGTAGGAGTCGTCAAAGGACAGTTTTTGAAAAAAAACGGTTTTTTTTTTCGAGCAAACCGCCGAAAGTAAGGAGAACTAAGGGCTGACTCAGAAAAAAAAGTTATCCAACCAATATTTAATGAATTCACAGCCATTTTTATAACTGAAAACGTAAGAAATTGATAAATACCAACTCAATGTTATTTAGATTGATTTTTTATATTTATTATCATTATATTTTCCTACAGTAAGAACTTCTTTAAAATTATTATGATTTCTCACTCATAATAAATATGAAAACAACACATAAATTCATGAAAAAACAACAAAACTTTAATCGAAATATACAGAAGGTTACGTTATTATGTAACATATTCCAAATGTAATAAACATCTAAATAGCCATAAAAAACAAATTAATAAATTTTAAATAATTTCTATTGTTATTGAAAACACATCAAGATTTTAAAGCTAAATAAAGCTTTTTGGCGCACTTTGGAAATTCTTTTCTTTTTGTTGAACTATTAATAATAAATATTGTTTCTGATAATAATAATAATATAATAATATTTATTTATTTACATGGAACATACATAAATGTGTTGAAATAGTCAAAAAACTAAACCTAAAAACTAAAAACCAGAAAGTCTAAAAAGACAGCACTAAAAATTTACCAACAAACATTAAGTAAAAAACTCTGATAATGTATACAAACATTTAGATGTTAAAAGCAATTTTAATTCATATTTAAAAGTATTAATTTTAGAAATGTTTTAATATTGCGAGGTAGCAAGTTAAAGGCTCTAGGACCCATAATATCTGGAGTTCTTTCACTAATATTAAGTCGAACATGAGGTAGTCGGTAGTTAAGGTTACGTCTGGTAATAAAATTGTGATAATCGCAATTTTTCCAAAATTTGTTTTTATTATTGAAAACATATATACATAATTTAAATACATAGAGACTGGCCAAAGTGAGTATATTATATTCTCTACATACATTTTTACAAGTATGTTTGTAAGTATATAGTATAATGTAAATGCAACGTATAATTCGTTTTTGAGATATAAATACATCCTGGGCGGACGCGGCATTACCCCAGAAACATACACAATATCTTAAACGTGATTCAACCTGAGCATAGTACAAACCGATCAATTGGTCCCTGTTAAGCACCGTTTTTAGGTTACTAAACAAAAATACCAACGAATTTAGCTTATTTACAATTTGTTCACAGTGACTTGAAAAAGTGAGATTTTTATCCAATGTTAGACCCAAGAACTTTGCAGCCGGTGTTGATTTAATGTTAGATTCATTAAAAGTCATGGGTTTACATAATTTTTGTCTAACATGAAATTGTATAAATTGAGTTTTGTCAGCCTTAAAAAATAAAGTATGCTCACTAAAAAATTTTGCGATAATTTTTAAGACATTATCTATCTCCTTTTCTTGTGAACTACTTGATGTTTGGGTTACAAGAAGCGACAAGTCATCGGCATACATTGTGAAGAATTTATTATGTAAAGTTATTTCGAGTTGATTAACATAAACATAAAAAAAGGATAGGTCCCAAAATTGTCCCCTGAGGTACACCCATTGTTACTTTCAAATTAGCAGATACAAAATTGTTTCTACTGAAACTATCTGAATGAGTTACACATACATAATGTTGACGCTCACTTAAAAACGAACGAATCCAGGATAAGGCAGCCCCTCTAATCCCTGAATCTTCCAATTAAGCAAGTAATATATTATGATTGACACAGTCGAATGCCTTGCTTACATCACAGAAAATTCCTTCAGGGCAGTCTCCTGCGTCAATATATTTTAAAATTTCATTGTAAAAATCATGGATAGCAGTGGAGGTCGACCGATTGCTTCTAAATCCATGTTGTTTGTCAGTTAAAATAGAGATTTTATTTAAAAGTCTTTCTTAATATGCATACTCAAAAATTTTAGAGAACACTGAAGTAAGCGTGATTGGTCTATAATTTTCTATTGTTTTATGATTCTTCTTCTTAAATACCGGAATAACCTTTCCAGTTTTTAGAATATAAGGAAATTCCCCCGTTTTAAAAGATAGATTTACCATGTATGTTATGGGTTTTATTAGAATGTGAATTATTTTTTTAATTAAGAAGTTTGGTACGTTGTCTGGACCACTAGATGATTTATTTTTTAATTTATACTTTATTAGATGTAACAATTGATTTTCACAAAAGGGAAACAAAAACATGGAGTATCTAGATATATTTCTGTATGTGTGTTCTGCACTATTAACTGTCATGTGATTTAATGATATTTGTTTTATTACATTTTTAGAACAATTAATAAAATAGTCATTAAAAGCTAAAGCTATATCTTGTGGACAAGTAATTTGTTTAGAATCAATTTCCAATTCAATATTTCTAGGACTCTTTTTTCTATTTGATAAATCAGAGATTATATTCCACGATTCTTTTGTGGGATTTTGGGAATTAATTATTTTATTTTGAAAGTATTCTTTATATGTCTTGTTTATCAAAAATTTATGATTTTTCTTTGCAATATTATAAATAATTTTTAATTCAGGATATTGTTTTGCTAAAAGAGCCAGATCACGCAATTTATTACTAGATAATCTTACCTCATTGTTAACCCATTTTTTCTTATTTTTGTTATATTTGCAGTTTTTTTCAGGAAAATACAAGTCAAAATAGTACATAAATATGCTTGAGAAGTGCAAAAAAGCCTCATTTAAATTTTTTTCGCCGAGAACATCCGCCCAGGATACATTCATAAGACTCACTTCAAATCCCTGTATTGAAGTGTTACTATAAAATCGTTTTTTAAAAGATAATAGATTATTTTCATTATTTAATAGGTCTAATTGCATTAATACAGTTCTTTGATCTGATATATTGTTGTAAACGACTGTACATAAGCCCTTATTAGCAAAGTTAATGAAAATGTGATCAATCATTGTACACGATGATTCAGTGACTCGGGTTGGCCACCCTACAACGGATTTAAAATTAAAGCATTTTAAATTAGTGCATAAGGTTTTAAAATTTGTATTTGTATATAGATCAAGATTAATATCACCACTTAAAACAAAATGTATATCAGGCTTAAATAACAAGTTAACAACATCAAATAGTTTGGCAAAAAATTTTATCAAATCTCCGCTTGGAGATCTCTAACAATTCAATATAATATACTTTTTTCCATTAGTACAATATGAAATAGCACATATTTCGAAGTTTTGTTCTTCACAAAAAATACTCAAATCAATTGCACTAACATAAAGAGATTCTTTAACCCAAATACCGACTCCCCCACATTTTAATTTGGGTCTACAATAAAAAGTCACTAGTTTATATCCTAAGATCCTTACATTATTTACAGAATCTGCTTTAATACCAATTTCAACCAAGCATAAAAATAAAGTTCAAAATTACTTAAAATATCGCTTTCCAGAATTTTAATTTTTTCAAAATTGATTGTATTTACATTGAGCAACAAAAAATTGGGTGCAAATATTACTTTACCGGACTCACCGCCTTCGGGCGCACATGAAAAAAACGGTTAATGCATGCACAAAAAGGCCATAATTCCGGGTCCATAGCTTTACTAAAATTGTCTTCATAGAAGCTGACTTTAAAGGACGAATATAGTTCTGGGTACTTTTGAGTCAGAGATTCACATTTCACCTCAGGAATATTCTTCTTTAACATATCAGTAAGTTCATTTGGTGTTGTCTTTGGATCAATTCTGTACACATGAAGATGAGCAAGTTTTGGTACACCTTGTATGTTTGAATTTTTCCCATAAATTATATTTTTATTTGTGGATTGTTTTGGTTTATTCTTCTTGTTGATAACGGTTTTCCATTCATTATTCTTTGAGTTTTCAGTTGCCGTATTATTTGCTAGATTAATGCATTTCTCCATTGCAATATGACTCTCTGCATTTAATACAGCAGCTGATACAATTTGTTTTGATATGGTTTTTGTCGATTTCTTACTATCGACACATTCTTTAGTTTTTTCATTGTTTACATTATTTTTGCTTGTTGTTGTTTAAACTGCGATCTTTAAATTTTCATGGTTTTGTATTGTTTTTTTGCTGTTTTTTATTTTCTGTTAAACTAACCTTAATATTCATGGTTTCTATTTGTTTATTAAGTAAATTAATTTTATCATTTAATTCATTGATGATAATGTCCTTTTGTTTAATTATATATTGAAAAATATGGACGTCTACCATTTTTTCTGGTCCAGAGATGTTTTCTATAGCCCGAAAGGAGTCCTCATCGACGTTGGGCGTGTTTTTATTTTCACAGCACACAATCACATGTTCATTAATTGTTTTAACATTGGACTGTTTGGCACAGCTAGGATGAAACACATTTTCACAATTTGAGCATTTTACTCCGCTCACAACTTTACTTTTACACCTGCTACACAAAGCGCAAACCTCATCGCCGGTCGCCATCTTGTACTTTTTTATTTTGATCTTCATCATATGTACCAAACTCAATAATTTTTCAATGAGTGCAACACATCGTTCGGCAGTATCATTAACAACACGTAATTTTTTGAAAGTTTCGATGCAAGTAATGTATTCTTGATCCGTTTCCCAGAAATAAAGGTCGATGTTTAAAACACGTCAAATTAAACTTATCGAAAATAGTGCGAGATTCTTGACTCACAAAATCACTTATATTTTTAGACGACATGATTTCAAGCTTTTTCCTGTCTAAAAGTAAATTAAGAATTTTTACTATTACTCGATTTTTTGTTTTTAATAGAATCAACTATTTTTAATTTTTCTTCTCGGGATAGTTTTTGATCAAAAAGCGCCAAGCCTGTAAGATTCTCGTTTAAGTACCACAAATGTTTGGAAAGTTTTTCTAAAGCAGCTTCTGCAACTTTTGGCTGATTTTTGTATGCTCTAATAAATTTTGAAATAGTTTTAAGTCATGGTAAGGAGCTTCAATAGCCCTTGTTGCTACGAACCATGCTTCAACATAAAACAAAACAATAAATAAGCAAACTTCTCGGAAGCTTGTAATTCTGATGAGTTGATGTGAAATTGTTTTCTAAACATATATATTTTTAAACTATAGACAGCTTTTGATAGCCAACGAGCAGGGTACATAGTACCAGGAGCTTTAAATTGTATACCTCTGTTGCCTCAAAAATAAAGCCGGTTTTGGTGTAAACAGTCAGAATCTAAATATAAAATTTGCAGCAAGCTTACCAGATAGTACCGAAATATGCACGGCAAGGTTGCGGCGGTTAACAAAGCAGTAAGTGAGATGGCGTTAAAGAAAGTGGACAGGGGAGTCATCTTGTCTGACTCACTCAGTGCCATAACAAAAATTACAAAGCCCAATCATAATGCAAAAAATAAATATCTAACTCTAAATACAAAAAAAATGCTACTAAATCTAAAAGAGTGCAAACTAGCTTGGATCCCAAGTCAGACTTTAAAAATATATCAAAAACGAAGGTTCTATGCTAGGGTGCAGGGGGAATTCCCCGTTGTTCCGTTTTTAAAAAACTACCTTTTATTAGCCGAAGGCATATGACCACCATAATCAGGATAAGAACCGGGCATTTTCAGTCACAGACACACCTATTCAGGATTGGGATCAATGATGACCCATTTTGTGAATGTGGTGAGACTGGGGACATAAACCACATTTTTCTCAGCTGTCCAATCAACAGGACAGACAATTTTGACATATACCAGGAGATACATAGGATGGGGGTGGTTACACCATTTAACATGGCTGTAGTCTTACAAAAGGCTAACAATGTAACAAAATTTCCCGATCTTCAAACAGACACCACCAAGGCCAACATAAGAAAAGGGGGAGCCATAGGAATTCCTAGACTTACCTTCCCCATCTACCCAGGGAAAATAAAGTAGTACAGCTGGCTAAATCCCGGAAGGAAAAGGCCAAAACTCTCAGAAGAAGAAGAAGATGGAACGCTTAGACAAGTGTATACATGTAGATTTTCTAATCAGTGAATAATACAGATAATGGAAATGGGAAGTTTAAATTTTCTAACGTAACTATATAGTTAACGTAGGCATGCTCGTCAATTTTATTCATATTTACTAAGTGAAGTGCCTTGGTTTACTTATAATGTTATTAAAGATGAATTAATTGTGGGTTTACCACTGTTTGATAAAGAACCTATTATTAAAACCAGACAGTTCGAAAGATTCTCTTCACAGGACATTTTAATAGCACAATTTAAGGTTTGGATGGAAAAATCAATTTATTTTAACAGATTGATGCAGTTAAAGGACTATTAGTTGCAATTTCCCTGCCACTGCAGTATCTCAGAGCGTACAGTGGTGTTCCACTACAAAGACACCAACATTTTTAACAGAAACAGAAAAAAGACTTCTAAACGGCTTCAGTTTCAAAGATTTACCAAAGTTACTTAAAATGTATTTTTTCTAAATAAAATTTATTTCAGCTCTTTTATGTTAATAAATTATTATCCCCTCAAATAATAATATTACTAGTACCTAGTAATTAGGTTAACCTATAATGCATGTTCTGGCTCAACAGCTGTTATATTAATATAATAAGCACCAGTGAATGAACGCTTAAGCATTTCCATACTTTATTTTTGAAATACGTCCCATTAGTTTTTAAGTAACTTTATATATTTTAGATTAATCCTTATATTTCATTTTTTAATTTAACATCTATTATACTGTGATGGAATATTAAGTAAATTTTTTTAAAACTTTGAAAACTGTAAAATTGAAAAACACCAGTAAATGATCGGGACTATCTAGTGAATGAACAAAACTGACCCAGAAAATGAACAAAATTTAATTTTTTATATAAAATACAGTCAAAAAAAATATTAAGTATATCTATTCATTTTCTTAATTTCATAAAATTCCCGAGAGTTGTCACTTTTTGGCTGCTCAATTTTGGTTAAAATATCTTTTTTTTTATACCATATTTTGTCTGTAGTGTTCGGCCACTTCCACAATTTGCCTTTTTTACATTTTTCCATGGTTTTTATTGCCAACTCGTCGTTTTCTTCTACTTATATTCGACCCGGATAGCATTCTTCTTCGTATTTTACAATTACGAAGTATCCGACGGAAAATTTACTGTTATCATATTCTTCAAACTGTTCCAAAAACTCTTTGTGTCCACTGCTTCCATCAGAAGAAACTTTTTTTTGAAGCTGGAGTTTTTTTTAACCTTTGTTTTTCTTTTTTTGGTCGGGTGATCTTGCACTTTCCTTTTTCTTTCCTCTTTTCTTTTCTGGATATTTTCAATTTTAAGTTGTTATCTTTTTCTTTTTTATCATAATAAGATTTCCACTTTCTCGATGCTATTGCAAAAGGCATCGGGTCATTTCTTTTTGTACTTTTTTTGGTCTCCACTTTTGGCCAATGAAAATGTTCTTTCCACAATTCCATAGAATTTCTACTGGTACTTGGTTGTAGATTTGGTGGTACTATTGTGATGTCCGATAATATTTTTACTTTAATTTCAACTGGATCCTTTGTTGCATCATATTGTATTTGTTCGTCGATATTTTTATTTTTTCATTTATGATTTTTTCATTTCCCACCGCAATTTGTTCACATTTAACCTTTTCCATTTGTTTTTCATCTTTTCTTCGTTAAAATTCGATGTACCTTTTTCTATACATTGTAATAAATTTTTCACAATTTGTTTTATTTTTTATTTTTGAGTTTATTGGGTTTTCGTCTGCTCCTTCTTTATTTATATGCACAATTTTAGTCTTAACTTCTTTCTTCTTTATCTCTTCAATATTATATTTAGTATCACTGGTAATGTCGTTGTTTTTAGTCTTTTCTTTAGATAGTGTTTAATTTTCATTCGCATCTTCTTCTGTTTTTGTAACTTTGTCTTTGGTATATTCAGTATCACAAGTAATATTGTAATTATTTTTAAGTACGAGTAGGATATGTCAATGTCACAGATATGTTTCGAAGTTTTACGCTTAGTCTTGTCTGTGTTTATATTTTCTATTTCTTGACTTTTCTTAATATTATATTCAGCGTTAGTAAAAATATCAGTTAAAGAACAATCTAAAGTATTGTCTTTATTTGTGTCTATATTTATATGATTATTATTGTCTGGATAAAAAGTCATGTCGTCAAATTCAATTGGCATACCATCTATAACTGAATCTGTTAGACTTGAAATATTTGCGTTTTCAGCTTTAGGTTTTGTTATTTTATTTTTACACAACTCATTAAGTTTATAAATACTATCCTGACGTTGGCTTTCATCGTTCAACTGATCCTTGTAGTAAAATTCAAGCACTTTTACTGCCGACTGATAATCTGCTTGTGTTGGTTCATTTTCATAACTGTTGGTATGTTCAATTAGAGAAATAATTTTCTTTTTTCTAAAAGAAATACATTTAGAATAATCGACATCATCTGGATTTAGTGGGTATAGCCCACAAGTACGAAACCCGTTTTCTATTATGGTATTATTAATGGATAAATCAAAAGCCTTTTGAAATAATGGGGCAAAATTAGTTTTGGTTAGGTATTTTTGTGTTTCTTGTTTATATTCTAGCATGATATTTCTCCATGCAATTTTAAGTGGCTTGAAAATAGAAACGTCACAGGGCTGCATTATATGAGTAGCATTCGGGGGTAAACCGTATAAGAGTATTTTCTTTTCTTGGCAAAATTGAAATAGTTCGGGGTTTATATGTGATTTGTGTCCATCCAAGAAGAGCACCACTGGTAAAGTTATAACGTTTTCCAAAAAAACATGGATAGAAGCATAGCCACATATTCATAAAAAGTCTCTGAACCTGAATCTGAACGACCAACAAAATAAGAATCGGGTATGGACGCCACCACATCCCTTGGAATCCTTTTGTATGAAACAACAAGCATAGGTGGAACGATTCTA